TGGAGGGTGGATTGGAAAGGGGGAACTGATTACAAGCATCTACATATAACCTCCTCGGGGAGGGACAACCGAAAAGTGGGTGAAGGGAGATGTCGGACAGGGCAAGATATGACAAAATAATAATTTATAAATTATCAAGGGTTCATGTGGGAAGAGGGAGGGAGGGAGGGGGAAAATGAGGAGCTGATGCCAGGGGCTTAGGTGGAGAGCAAATGTTCTAAGAATGATGAAGGCAATGAATATACAACTGTGCTTTACACAATTGATGTATGTATGTATTATGATAGAGTTATATGAGCTCCTAATAAAATGATACAAAAAAACCCCCACTTTCAGTGGGATATACATTATTAACAAATAAAACTGACAAAAAATTCTCAAAGGTCAATTAAATCTGGAAAGCTCAATTTAAACAGTTAATGTGTTTCTTTTAAACAAGATTCCTCCTAAGTTTGCAATATGCAATGCACAATGGATTCTTTAAGAGGGAGATTATAACATGCTATAATCTCTTTAATCACAACAGGGTCCAGCATGCTGGTGTCTCAATGCAATACACATTTTCAAAAAGGCTGCTTTGGAGTGCTCTACTTTTAGGCTTTCTTCTACCCATTAGCATGTTTCCTATTTCCATTTTATACCAGCTTTCTGTTGGCTTTCACCACCTCTTGCCTGAGCCATTTCAAGTCTTGCTATCTTCACTATCCAGTCCATCCAATATGTAGTGCACACTCAATTATATTTCTAAACTTGTGACATAGTGGTTACATGTTGGGCTGAAATCCACAAGGTCAGCAGTTTGAAACCACCAGCTACTCCACGGAAGAAAGAGAAGACCTTCTGCTCCCATAAAGAATTATAGTCTCAGAAATTTACAGGGGCAACTATAGGGTCCCTATGAGTTGGCATTGACTTGGTGGCAGTTAGCAGTAGTAAGATAAATGACTCTGGCATACAAAAACCTTCATGGTCTGGCCTGTTTATATCATTGGCTTCATCACTATTTTGCCACATGAGCTCTTTGTAATACTGAAAATGCACTATGTGGCTTCATACTTTCATGCCTAGACAGATATCCTTTACCCTCTGACCATCGAATGAACACTCCCTCAACTTGGATGGCTCATTCATCTCCTATAAAGACTACCCCACTCCTTTCCCAGCAGCACAGGGCATTTTCTCTTTGATGTACACAGCTGTGTGATATTTATATGTGCCTACCTTAACACCTAAGGAGCCCTTGGTGTTAAGTGCAGTGGTTAAGAGCTCCGCTACTAACAAAAAGACCACTAATTCGAACCAATCAGCCTCTTTGTGGGAGAAAAACCTGATGATGTGCTGTCATGACGATTACAGCTTAAGACAACCCATATGACAGGTCTGCATCTCTGTGTAGGGATAGTATGAATCAGAAATGACTCAATAGCAATAAACAATCTTAATAGCTGTAATAACTGTTTTTACCTAATGGTCAACACTTGTCTTGCTTAAAATCTCCATCTAGCCTTTAAATAATTTAATTATACTAAATTTAACATTGCGGAAAATCCACCATACAGTAACATTTCACATAGACAATGATGCATTTTGAATAACATGGTTTTCTGATGCATAACAGTACAATTCTTTGGATTTAAAAGATGAAAAACCCCATCTTAAAAACTGATGAAATCTTAAGCAAATTCAGGCTGTAGGATGAAAATATCTCAAGATCATAGGTTGAGAAAATGTATAACATGAGAAATGTAGCTTGATTTTTTTAATACATAAACAATCCATTCCATATCCAATTTTACCAACATGCTGCTCTAGAAATTCACATTTTATACCATAATTTGATTTTTCTGCTCCATGCTAAAAAAGCTCACTATCCCACAACTGCTTAAAGTATAATGTAGTACCTAGGATATTAAAAAAAAAATTAACTCAATGTTGGCAAACTCTTTCCCCTCATGAGAAAATAGTTACAGAAATGTCTATTGGTCAATTTTCTGGTAAGGTAATGAGCAAAAGATCCAATATAGAGGAATTTTCATTTAACAATGATCCATCACTACACTTATCAGGAACAATATTATTCTAGTATTATTATATAGGGCAGTTTAGTCAAATGTCTACTATTAAGAGTTAGGTCAGCTTTTAAGAAAACTATATGGAAACATTCAATTGTTAACAAAAATTAATATAAAAGTTATACAATGCTATGTAAGTTATTTTAATTTAGATTAAAAAAACATGTATTAACCACCCATAACAACAACTTTATTTTAATAAATAACAGTGGGCTTACTAAAAGATAGGGATTGTATTGTGTCAAATTTTATGCATATTGGTAATAAACCTTAAGAAGGTGAGACTAGTTAAGAGGTATAAGCAATAAGTCCTAAAAACTATAGTACTTTAATAATAAAACTTTAAAAAATATCTTCCAAGAGAAAATAATTCACTTCTTGACCATGCTTATTTATTCAGAGTACCAGCAATTTCAATTCATGTTTAAGTGCTTCTTCTTCCTGAAATATGCTGTCGCACAGGGAATATTCACATTTTCAGATCATCACAATATCTTCATTATTTCAGGCTACTAATATTGTGAATGCAAACTTTATAACAAATACAAAATAAAAAATGAATACTACTACAGTATTTATGGCAAACAGAACAAAAAGAAACCTTGGAAGGGTGTTTTCTTTTGCTTTCAGTACTGTTTTAGTTGAACTTTAAATGTAGGCAATAAATTCTCTGGAAGTAACCTAATTCTGGCTGGGGATCCACAGTATAAATATGGTGAATAAAGCTAAATTATGAGAGCTAACTACATACTGAATAATCAAAATAATCAATTATAACAACTAATACTGCTCTTGCAGACCAATCTAATGAAAAAGTATCATTAGATATGGTGGAAAAATACAGACAAATCTGTACAATCTAACATCTATAAACAGTAAAATCAAAACATCCAACTTCCTTATAGAAAGTGTTTCATCTATGTAATTATAAATGTTAAGGACTCTTGCATTTTATAAACACAAGATGAGCTCACTTTGATGATACCAATATTAAGATTTATAAAAATGTTTAAAAAAATCTTTCCACAAAAGTTTATACAGTTTAAAGCTATACACCAATCTATAAATTTCATAAAATGGAGGGAGAGGGGACGACCTTTATAAGATCACATGTATAAAACAAGAAATGAAATGTGATTTTATTTAAGGCAATACTGGGCTACTTCACAAATCACCACCTCAAATATTTACACTGCTCCACACTACTAGTTTCTATCACATCACAAAGGATTTTTTTTAATATGAAATGTTTAAAATCTTCAGTGTAGTAAATTCTTTATTTACATTTCCATTATATTTCATGGAATAATAACTATATCCAATTAGAAGCAATGGAGAAAAAAATTTAAAAAGCAAACCTCCTAAAGGTGCTAAAGAATCTGCCTTAATTTTACAGGAATACCACCCAAAACCTTGGGTGTTAAATGTACCAAGCAGAACAAGCTGTCAGTGTAATGTGCCGAGTCTGTGAAAGGTAACCTTGAGATCATCTCGTAAATAAATTCATCAATGGACTCTGGCGGAGTTTCTAGTTTTAGTTTTAAAAAAGTTCTTAATTTAAAACAATAATACAACTTGATCACTTTGTTAAAAACTTGATCACTTAAAAATTAAAATCCCAAATATAAAGGTGTCATTTAATAGTTTAGACTTACAGACTGCTGGTGGCAGCAAATGATTTACAATAATAAATATATACAAAAGAGGTATCTACAAAGACTGTTATACATGAGCAGTGACCTGGTGAGACATACCCATCACAGAAAACTCAGTTTAGTTCATGGAGAGGGTAATTGGTTGATATAAATTTGCAGTTTAGCTCAACTATTTACAAAACTGAAATATTGATTCTGTTCCTCAAGTCCCATAGGGATAAAAACAAAGAGTTTACATGACAAATGTCATGTGTTTTTTTCTTCTTTTTTTGTTGGCCAGTCTAATTCATGTCAACAATATCAACAAAAAAGTTAAAAGGTTCCACTATTCTAGCATGCTTGATGGCTTCCTATTTAAAATCCAACCATGATGTATTTCTAGTACATTAGTTCTCAGTACTGCCCTTTCCCTGTGGCTTTACCTGTACTGAGTTCTTTCAGAACAGACATATTGAGATCTTTTGGATGTACTTCAAGTTTTTTCAGACTAACGGTAGGTTTCATTTCCTGAAGCTGCTTTAAGATGAGCTCAGTGCAATCTTTAAGAGTCTTGTCTAAAACAATTTTTACATTATTACTGCACTTAAGCTGTGATGGATTGGCAAACTGTACAAATGTTTCCGTTTCTTTACAAGAATGTACATGATTCCCATTAGTCACAGTTGTCTTGTCATTATTTCTCCTTGAATTTGAGTGAGATCCTTTTTTAGTCCCACTATTTGGATGCTCTTTGTCAGTATTTTTCTTCTGCTTCACTGCCGACTCCTCGAGAAACTTGAGAAATGATGCTTCAAATCCCATTGGTTTGAACGAGCTCCAGTCAAATGATGCAGGATGGTCCTCAGTGGTCTGAATTGCAACAGCGGTTTCTTCTTCCTTATGCGTGCTACTTAGCTCAAGTGCCAGCGCCGCCTCTGCTTTTTCAGTCTTCCTCTTTTTATTTTGTGAGACATTTTTTTCTTTATTAGCTCTCTTCAAATTACTTGCCTTTTGCTTTTCCGGTTGGCAGGGGTTACTTTCCTGAATATCGTTACTTGCACTTGAAGAGGTGTTAGCTTGACCCTCTACATTTGCATTGTCTTCATTTATTAGTTTTGTAATAAATAATTCTGTTAACTCATCCATTTCATCTTTTTCATTTTTTTCAACTGCCTTCTGTGGAACCGACTCTGTTCCTGAGTTATCATTGTTCTCTGATACACACGTGTCGGCATCTTTGACATCACTTTTATCAACTTCGCGCCCAGAAGATGGTTCCTTTACTTGTGGGTTGCAACACCGTTTGAAAACAATAAGAAGATTGCGGTGTTGTGATGTAAATGCCTTAGATAATTTATGACACTTATAATGTCTAATTATATTGCTTTCACTTGTAACAACTGATGTACATCCCTTAATCATACATGGGTACTGGGTCACAAATCTGCTTGTGCACTCAGACAAGGCATCATTTCTAGCCTTTATAGAATACACGTGCTTTCCACGTTTCAGAGAATAAGGCTTATTTTCTTCAATCTGCACAATCTTTGTGTTCTTGTTTTCTAAATGATTTTTTTTCTTTCGCTTGGTCTTAGGCATTCTGATTCCTTCCTTTCCACACCGGCTGTGCTTTGCCCCTCGAAGTTTAGGTTTTGTTTTATCTTGGTTTGCCTTGCTTGATATATTTTCCTGGCCTGGTGTTAATCTTCTTGGTCGAATCAAATGAGCTTTATGTTTGTCATTATGCTTATTAAAAATGTGTCGGAGGAGATTAGACCGGGTCGCATATATCCGGTCACAGCCTTCACAGTCACACTTATATATGCCATCATCTTCTACTTTACTCGCCCTTAACCCGATCCCATGGTCGGCCTCAAGATGGACAACGTAATTCAGAAAGGTAGTAAATGAAGATTTACATTCTGATTGGTCACACAGAAATCTCCCAGCATCTACAGTAGCAGTCATACCTCCAATTTCTTCGGGAGTCATTTCATGAAGTTTCATGTAGTGCTGTATTAGGCCAGTAATTGCTTGAAAAATTCGAGAACAGTCACTCACCTGACATCGAAATTCTTTCACAGTTTTAGTTTCCACTTCTTCGCTTTCTTTACCAGCCTCACTTTCTTCTTCGACCTCTGCAGAGAATGCAGGTAGGTCTGATTTGTGTACAGCCTGGTAATGCAGAATCAAGTTCTGCTGTATTGTAAATGCGGCAAAGCAACCCTGGTGAACACACCGATAAGGTCGGTACGGACTGTATGTTGTTGGAACCTCGACTGACTGGGAAACTGGCTTCTTGCCTTTTTTCTCCTCCTTTTCTTTTTTATGTCTCCTAACTTTCCGTCCTTTGGTTTGTATGTTTGGGAGAGAACTTGTATGATTTGGTTCTGAAGTAACTGCAGTCACTTGCGAAGATCTTTCCATAGTTTCAGGACTTTTTTTTTCTACAGGTTGGTTTTCTGGGATCTCTGCTATATTACTGACAGTGTTTTCCGTTTTTGCCTCTAATTCTAAAGCAGGCTGCAATTCCCGTTTATTTTCCTCCGGTTCAGGTAATTGTTTATTGACTTGTGTAACACGTGACGCTGGCACATTTTCACTCTGCGACTTCCTTCCGTAAGGTCTTTTGATTTTCAACTTTACCATTTCTTCTGTTGTAAAGTGATGTACCAACTGACAGTGTGCTCGGAGATTTGAATTTCTTGTAAATGTTTTTGTACATGTAGCTACTACGCATTTAAATGGAGCAAATTTCAACTGATTCTTCTTAATTTCAAGAATCATCTCTGGTGTGTACTGATGAATTTTGCCGTAGTGCTTAAAGAGTGCGTCCTTCGTCATGGCGCTGTAGTTGCAGCCTTGGTTCTGACACACAAAGGGTTTACTAACCTTGTCACTACATTGAATGCTATGTGGCACTTCAGAAACAGGCGGAACTGGGTCATTTGGAGTTGATTTCACAGGACTAGGAGTCAAAGTCACGGCTGTATTGATTAGAACACACTGAGAGGTTGGAGCAGAGAGGTCATTTTCTAATTTTAATTTCTGCAAACCTTCTAAGATTTCCTGTATTTGATCCTCCTTACGTAGCACTTCAGATTGAGGAACATTAATTTTTGTTGGCATGACCCCTACGAAGGCAGAAAACGGAGGAGAATCGGGTAACTTGTTACTCTGAATAGTGTTTACTGGAGGAAGCTGGATGTTATAACTCACTTGTGCATTCTGTGGTACTTCACCAGCACTCGGAGGCCCACTGTTTACCTCCACTATTTGAGAATTCATAGCAGTTTTAATAATCTCAAGAGTCTTTTCAAAGTTTTGTATAACATTGTCTTCAGAAATCTGCAAATCAGAATTCATCGATGTGCATGAATTCAAAGCCATCATTTGGGAATCACCATTTTCTGCTTTTAACGGTAAGGGTGCTAACTCTGTATGAGACTCAAGATTGGTTTTGAAGCTTTCCTTTCCATCAGTTATAAACAACTGATTGTCAGCATTATTTAGTTTTTGTGTTAGATTTTCCACCATACCCCGAGGTTCACAATTTGGACTAATGGTTGAGTGAGGGTTACTAGCTGGCATCTCAATACTCTTTCCTAGGAGTCCCATTGGTGCTAAGTCACTTGCTGCCACATTTTGGGAGGCGGTAGGTGCAATCAGGGGAGGAGCAGCTTTCTTTCTTCGCTTAGAAGCACTGTTTCCCTTTTTATTTAAATTATTGGACCTTGTATTCTGAGGACCACTTATAACTGAAACACGTGAACCATTACTAGCAAAATTCTGCGATGGCCCACCAGAATCAGGAAATGAATTAGCACACAAACCATTTTCAACAGTCTTCTGTAGTAAGTCATTTGCTGGAAAGGCAGATAAATTGTTGATTTCATCTGCAGAGGGAGTTTTAGAATTGGGGGACCTATTCTGGTTGACCAGCAGGGTGTTGGGGTGGCATACAGTCTGCAACAGGGGTGGCACGGTTGGATTTGGCATCACTGCTGCATTTACCTGCCCCGCCTCTGAGACACAACCTGATGGAACAACCTGAGAAAGCATTTCTGGGCCCTCAAATGTACTGGGAATGCCAGCGGTTTCCAATGCCTGTTTAATGATTTCGCTTCCTTCTTGGCTCACACTAGTATTAAAATTAGTCACACCAGTACGAGGGAATGTATTTGGTAAAAATGTTGAGCGATTTTCAGCAGCGAGAAGTTGCAGGAACGATGGATCTTTAAAACATGCTTCCGGATTAAAGGTAGACTGTTGTGGCTGCTGGAAATTGACTGCATTTGTGGAGAGAATCATGCTGGCCAGAAGTGAAGGCGGTCCATTATTCTGTAGCAGTTCTTGGGCAATTTCTGCTCCATCCAGTGGCTTACAGTAAGATCGCTTAGACAAGTGTCCTCCTAGTGATCTGGGATTGGTAAAAGCTCTGTAACACCTGCTACAAATAAATTTCCCATCTCTGATAATTGCGGGCCATTTAGCCCTTTTGTTTTGCTTGGGTTTTCTTTCCTTCCCATTTGGGCCCCGCCCACGGTCTTTTTTAGCTTTTTCAGGTGTAGACTGTTGAGCACTGGGGCTGTTGAGGTCATCTGCAACGTTCACTTGTGAAGGAAAAACTGCATTTTCACCATTACTCCCCTTTAGGAAAGAGGAATTAGTGTTTCCTTCAATCTGTGAGGAAAAATGATTTGTATTATTTTCCAGTTGGGAAAAAACAGAGTTAGTCCCACTATCTGCTGGTGACGGGAAGAGAGACATTGAGCTATTTTCCGCAGGCAAAGGAAGGAAAGGATCAGAGCCACTGTCAATGTTCAAGGGCAAAACCGTTTTGGTTAGATCTTCCACTTGTGCTGGCAAGGTAGGAGCAGAGACGTCTTCCATTTGGGAGCATAACATACCACCACCTTGTTCATTTTTGTCCTGAGAAGGTATATTTGGATTGATGACACTTTCCATGGAGGGCAACAGTGGAGTCGACACATTTGTTAAATGAGCTGGAAAAATGGGAGGTGAGACATGCTGCGACTGGGTTGAACAAGTAGGATTCCCACTGGCTTTGGTCTGTGATGCAAAAAATGAATTATTAGAACTGCTCACCTGGGATGGCAAAAAATAAACAAACTTTCCATTATTTGGTGTATTTAGGTTGTTAGACTTCTGACCTTTTTTACTCTTGCGCTGCATTTTAAATGCAGCATATTGGTCAGGGTGCGCGGTCTTCATGTGTTTCCCAATACTCTGCGAAGAATTGTAGGCTCGAGTACATCCCTCCACCTGGCAACTGAACTTCTGGACTGGAGGTTTTAGAGGCACTGATGGAGTTCCTGCACAGCCACTTAGGTGGGGTTGTGGCGGAACAAAGGTGATGCTTTCCAATGTCTTCAGAGGTAAATGATAAAGGTTGGGTGATGTTTTCACATCACCGCCACATTCAATCTTGGAAGTTGGTAAAGTGTTTTGAAATCCTGACTGATTTTGCACAGAAAAGGTCATTAGGCTGTTCACTTGCCTTTCTAAGTTCTGTGGGGTAAGGTCATCTATTTTGAGGGTTTCTGAACTTATTAGAGCATTCTGAGTAATCTGAGTTTCATTAAAGCAAGCCTGTCCTTTTCTCTCTTGGAAACCTGGGTGACACAAATCATTACAAGTATCTTCAGTAGGTGTCTGTATGTCTGTGACCAGCGATTCACCAGTGCCTTCCACAATTGAGTTTTCTTGCTTTCCAAAGCTATCTTCAACCCCATGATTAAGAGACACTTTGATGGATACAGCTACTTCACTGGCGTGCAGCAGCGGTGTGGCAGCAGGGTTTTCTGAACCATGGGACAATGGTCCACCAGTTTCGCTCAGCACAGAGGCAGCACCCTGTTCTGGTTCAGTCCCAGCTGAGTCTGCCTTGCTCGTATCCCAGGTGTCAGTTCTGCTTTCTGGGAAGCTGCTTGCAAAGTTATTTTCTGCAGGAAGCACAGATCTCTCTTTCTCAGTACTGCCTTCTGTGTTCTGATTCACTGTGGAAGACTGAACAGAATCTCCAGGTGCAGTAAGTTGGTCATCGGGAGACAAAACGTTCTCAGGAGGAGTATTGTGATCATCCAGGTGCTTTTCTAGCTCACTTTGAGAACGATAAACTTTGCCACAACCCGTGAACTTGCAAGTATAGGTATTATAATGCTGTGCTTCATGATCATATAGCAGGTAAGCTTCTGAAAAAATTCTGCCACATTTAGGGAACATACATTTTGCTCGAAACACTTGATGCTCCTTTCTGTGGGTTAAAAGTTCTGCATAACTGTTAAAACCGGCCTTACATTTCACCTGAATACAGATGTATGGCTTACTGCCACAGTGCATTTGCAAGTGATCGCTGAGATGAGTAACACTTACAAAATGCCGCCGACAGTACTGGCAGATGACTTTTTTGCTTTGCATTTCAAGAAAGCGCTTGGCATCTTCATTATCCTTATGCCCCTTTACGTGAGCAATTAAGTTTTTAAAGTACTTAAAGCCCTTTTTACAAAAAGTTACAGGGCAATTAAATTCATTAACAGGTACTGGTTTCTGGATTGGGATCACTTCTGGCTCGTAAGATTTATCTTTGTCATCAGTTTCATCATCTGAGCCATCATTGTCATTAAATACTATAAAATCTGTTGAATAGAGACTATTCTTTTTTATAGGTCTCTGTTCCTGCTTGGTCACAGCATTATTAGTCTTTTGGATCTCATTGGTAGTGGCATCCTTTGGAGGCCTTCCTAATCTTCGTAATGGTTTCATAGCTGCGAGTCTCTCTTTACTAGATTGTTTAACATGCAGCGTGACATGAGGAACAAAAGTTTCTTTAGAATTAAAGTTCTTTGCACATATGGGGCAACTGTAAACGCCATCTTTGAAATGTTTCTGAGCATGTCGTACTATTCTATGACCAAGGAATTCTTTGTCACACAGCACACAATACTGCATGTATGCTTGCCAATTCCTAAATCTGGCAGATATGAAGCCCCGCTCTCTTAACTGCTTGATCTCTTTCTTCTTTTGCTTCTCATCACAACTGCCTGTAAGGAGGTCAGAATTAGCACCAACTCCACCAGAAAGTCCATTCACAGAAGTTTCTTTAATTTCTTCCTGGTAGTCTACTACTTTCTCATATACTTCACTGTCGTTTAGTTCATCTATTGAAGACACAATGGATGCTTCTTCTCCCATTAATGCAAGACATTGTCGTTTTAAGGTTTTCCAATCCCAAAACTCTGGATCAAAAGGCCACTGTGTTTTCAAAACAAGCAAGAGCTCACAGCGTAGAGAATTTGGTATTGGAAGGTTCTCTTCATCATACTTCTGGTCTGGCTGGTTATACAACATTTCAACAGCATAATACGCATCTACTGTAGGCTCAATAAGAAATTCACTGAGTTGACAGGCGCGCTTAACTTCCAGATCCTCGGGCAGCAAGCAGGAAATGGTCTTGCAAATGGATATTTTCACTTCAGTGTTTTCCGTAGATTCCAAGCGAAGAGCTTTTACACATAATTCTATACAGGTGGCAAGTCCAGCCCCTTCAGTCTGTGAAAAGCAAAGAGAAAAAGTTAATAATAACACCCTATTAATAATATTATATTATTGATAATATGTTTAAGAATAATCCACATTAATCGAGACAGAGTAACTTGTGAAGTTAGTCATTTTAAAATGTTTGTTTGTTTTTTCCACATATTACAATAACAGGATGGAAGGATGCCCCTTCTAAAAGCACTGCAGCTTACTCTGGCGTGTAAACAGGAATGAACTGCACAGAGGGAAGAGCCCCAGGACTGTAAGACAAGATGTGGAGAGTGACATCTTTTGATAAAACCAGGCAAACTTCAAAGTTACTTAACATGTCTGATTTTTATGAGGGGGCTTCAAAAGACCACAGAAAAATTGCAGGATATTTTCATTCAATTTTTTCCACCAGCTTTCCAAAGACTCCACATATATCCCAGTTATATATAGTACTTACACTTAATAAAATTGCTCTGTGCATTAAAGATTATTTATTCTAACTACTTGAACTAGTTTAGTAGAGGGCCTTTCACATAGGAAGAGGCTTCATGAGGTCATTATCTGTATCATAAATCTCAGTCTACCGTTTATACTCGTTTATAAGCTGAGTTTTCCAGCACATTTTTTAATGCAATTTTTGTGGCAAAATTAGGTGCCTCGGCTGATATTTGGGTCGGTTGATACTGGAGTATATAGGGTAAGTTTACACTGATAATCCTTTTGAAACAAAACCTTAACCAAATTACAGAACCAAGAATGTCCTCATAGTTCCTACTTTATCAGTAATGGAAGAAAAATATTGCTTCTAACAGAATAAAGTTATCTGGTCCTTCATAACGGGGATTCATTCTACCACCATAAAACTGAATGCTAAATTATATAGCTCATGGATGGACCAGATTAAGAATTAGAAGTAGGAGAAGACAAAACTGTACTAGCACCTTAAATTATTCTTTTTAGGAGAGAGCTGTAATCCAGGTATGAATCACCTGAAAACAAATGGAGGCAAGACGATGCACTTGAAATGGTTAAAAGGGATCATGAAACTAAAAGGAAGAAGCTGGCCAGAGGATTTGGTCACATCCATGGAAGTGAGATATGTATGCTATAGTATCAATAGGCAAGAAAGAAGCTAAAGGGGTGAGTAGTTTCACAGATCAAGAGTAAAATAAAGTACTTTACTAGATAGAACAGATACTTAGATTTCAAAATAAGATTGAAAGACAGAGGCTGTAATATGGTAAATAAGGCAGAGTCTAGGAAAAGGAAGACCAAAGAGATAGTAGACAAAGGCCAGAAAGGTACGAGGTTAAGATGAATAAACACGAAGAGACCTACTTTAAAAGTGACAGGTCAGAAAGACAGGAAAACTGGGAAGAGGTGGAACCATATGGGTGACTCTAGCATCTTTAAAGGCAATTCATACAAATTTGCATAGTTATTTTGTACTCTTGTGATATGTTCCTCTAAAGCAGTTCTATATCAAATCTGCAGGAGTGAAGATCTATGGTTACAATTTCTTAGAGGCACCACTTTCCCCTCTAGCCTCAGATGGACACACACAAAGTTTCCTATCACTTATCTATAGTAGGAAGCAAATCTTTTTTTTTTTTTTGGGGGGGTATCTACTTTTTCATTAGTTGGGGTTTAATACATATATCATTCCATATTTCAATCACATCAAGTAGACGGTACAATTGCTCCCACAGTTTCCAAACAATCTTTTATTACATGGACTCCTTGACATTGCCTCCTTTTTACCCCACCTCCACTGTGCCCCTCCCCCCAAGGCCCTTATTCTACTTGCTGTCCCTATAGGCTCATCAATCCTGATTTAAGTTTCATATACCAAAAGGGAAAAGCATGTAAAACAGCTTCAAGAGGGTGACCTGTATTTGACTCACCACCTCTGAGATACACTCTAATATGAACAAACAAATCCCGAACAAGACAATACAAACCAACAATACAGAAAGTTTTGGAAACAAGATCAGGCACAGCCTGCATCATAGAGGGAATCTACTGACAAAGTTATAACTGTTCAGGTCTCAGACGTAAGCCTTTGATCTTCTATACTCCTCTCTCCCAAGAAGTCTGTTTCGCAACCACTTTCCTCCTGGCCCTCCATTGCATTGTAGACAGGGGACTTCTCCAGGGGCTTATTTCCTGTGTAGTTCCACAAATGAATCTCGGGTTCCCATGGTCATCCACTGCTTTCTCCACACTGGATTCTGATCTCTCCTTCCGGATGATATGGATTCCAATTTGTTTTTTTTTTGTCTACCTTTTCAATGAAATTATAGAATTTCACAGCTGCCAGCTTTATGAAGGCCTTCAATTCAAGCTCTCTACCTGGAGTGGGCCCAAGGTCTTATCTCCTATCCCAATATAGATGCATCCTGTCCATGTGAGAATATTAAAATTCAAACTTCTTGGTCAATGCAAGCAGCAACATATCTCAATCCCTACCAAGCCAGAAACATAGCATCAGTGCAGCCAATCTACTCCGGCTTTTAGGTTCCACTTCATTTAAGGCCCTAAAAATGTCAATAATTACCTTGTAATTTCAGATGTTATATATGCTTTTAAAAAGATGTTTGTTACCATAGCTTATTCTGGAAGTCTTGTCATAAGTGGGTTTTCAGATAATCTAATCTACCATAATGCTTACAACAGGAGACACCTATTCTTTACATTTTCCAAATTTCTATAAAGCTATCAAAGTAGTATAACACCAAGAAGCAAATCTGATGAGTGATTAAAGAGTAGGTGTGATGAGTATTATTTTTCTTTAGGTGAAGAGTATGCTATTGGCCCTCATTTGCCACATCAAGCATGTGTATGAAGTGTCTTAAAGGGCTAAAAGAAAACTAAAGTTCAAAGTACTCCATGAAGTAAGCAAAAAACAAAAAACAAAACAAAACACTGAATGAGCTGCTAAAATAATAAAAGTTAAAGTGTTTTATTAAAATTAATTTTTAACTAAAAAATGGATTGTTCTTACCTCTGAATTAATAACTTTAATCAGGAAGAAAATATGATACACTGTCTTGGTTAACAAAGAAAGTTGACGACACCTCTCCAGGTACACCTGTATAGATGGTTCTACCCTTTGCTGTAATTTACTCCAAAAGAGAGTGAGCTCCCTAAAAAAAGTACAAAAATTAATTTGAAAAAGATATGTAATAAACATGGACTGTATATATCAGTCTTGCCATTAGTTTTGATCTTATATTCCATGTTCACATGTGGAATAAAATTTAAAATACAAAATTAGTTTCTACTTTTCCAAAGATTAAATGAAATTATGAAGCTTTATAGCTGTATTAATCATTACTTTTCATGTAGTAGAGACGCAGAATTATGCACCAGAAAAGCATCTAATGTTTAAGTAAATTATACAATGGTAACTATGAGCTACCTCTCAAATTTTATATAATAAAAGGTACAAAGCACCAATGTCATATTTTTAAAAATAAAAAAAATTTACCTCTGAACTTCACCTTAAATCTAAAGGCAACCAGTAGGGTTAATAGATGAAAAACGACACAGAACCCACATAAAGAATCTAACTCATCTGTGTTATAATCACGAAACAAGACATTTGAAAAAATAAAAGTAATTTCAAAACTCATTTCCAACACAGTAATATATTTCTAATAATCCAACTGAGGTGATGAGCTTTCTTTTAACCTATTGTTTCGTTTTTCTTCCATTCTCCATGATGAACTTCCACAAAAATGTACTTCATGACCACTCCCACCTCTCTACTTCTTTAAAAGACTTCTCCATTTTCATCCAGAATGTATCTTCTTCAACATTTTCCCCTCAGACCGCACAATCACATGGAAGCCTTTATCTAATTTTTAAGCTGGAATATTTACTGTATTCGCTGGCTTTCTAGTTGATTTTCTTATCTCAGTGTATTACCATTCACATTCTCCAACTGTGCCCTTGCTCAGTCCCTAGTTGGTTCTCAACTGCTTATCTAACACAGTTTCTTAAACATCCTTTCACTAAAACATGTATAATAGACTGCTGATTTATTAGCCTTATGTAAAATTCAGACTCCGAGGTTATTTTCAAAACCATTTAAAACATTAGTTTATTAGTGATCATTAATATTTACTGCTATGTTATCCCTTGGAAACTCTACTTGCTTTCCATAATATACCACATAATACCAGTGACTGGCAAGTTAGATGAATGGTTTCAGCTAACAGTAATTTAAGACTGCTGGTCTGAAGTGCTCATCTGTGCCACTGAGCCAATGCTTACTCACTGTGACCCTATAGGGCCAAGTGGAACTGCCCCTGCATTTCTAGAGCAACTCTGAGACTAACTCTTTATGGAGTAGAAAGGTTCATCTTTCTCCCTTGGAGAAGCCGGTGGCTTAGAACTGTTGACATGGTAGTTAGCAGTCTAACATGTAAACCACTTCACCAACCCAGCCCAGCCCACACCTGGTGGGAGCCCTGGTAGCATAGTAGTTATGTACTGAGCTGCTAATTGCACTGCAAGGTTAGCAGTTCAAAACCATCAGCTGCTCTGAAGGAGAAAGATTAGGTTTTTCTACTCCTGTAAAGAGTTAACCTCAGAAACCCACAAGAGTTTATACCCTGCCCTATAGCCTCCTCACGATTCGGAAATGAACGGTGACAGTGAGGTGTTTTTCCTTCTTTCTTTTTTAGTCTTTGGTTGTTTAATTAACATCTCTGCCAGTTGCAGCATTCCCCAAAAGTACATATAACAAGGTTTGTAAATTAAACTGTATTTCTACACATAGAACAAGCAGCTAGTTCTACAGCTAAGAGTTCGATACCCAGAGGTGGGATAAAAAACAAGGAACACACACACTCAATCATAGGATGCTAATGGTATAGTTGAAAATTTCTGTTATGCCATCAGCCAAAGCAAATCTTTCTTTTACCACCCAACATTACAAAACACCTTGACTAGATGATCACTATTGGTAGGCTAAGGAATTGTGTGGTCCTTAACATAAAAACACAGAAAGGTTATAGTGCTATAAAATAACTTGATCAGTGTTTTATTATCCTGAAGACTTTAAAAGATACTAAAAATAATTTCCTAAATTATTTAAATTCTCTTAACTTTTCTTGTATTCTTATTTAATAAATTAGTTTTTTAAAAAGAAAGAAAATCAACTCACCAGGCACAATACATATCTCCTTGTTGTAGCTGACGTGATAAAAATGCAGTACATAAAACAAGAGCACTTTTTTCATCTCCCTCAGATTCTAAGTTACATATCATTTCCAGTGCATCTTTGCAATCAACGTCTGAAATCTAAAGAAAATGGATATAGAAAATTCTCATAAATTAGTATTCCAATTTAATTCTAATTAAAAATTCATATCTGATCACTATAATGAATAAAACTTAATCCACTCATATATTATTAGTACATAATTGGTCATTGCTACAGTTTTAAAAATGTCTAATACAGTAGAAGCTAATATAACAAATCTGGAAAAATATTAACACAAGAGAATTTTTTCATGGATTTTCAAAATATTCATTGATATGTAAAGACTGTATGCAAGCAGTCCCAGCCATAAAGCAAATCTGAAAAGATGTAGTACTTAATAGTTTTCCCTTTTATCCAGTGATTTTTAAAAGGATTTAAATAAAAAGAAAGACAATAAAGAGGCCTATTATACATAAGCCAATAAACTAAGTCTATTTATCTGAAAAATAAGAGTAATATAAAACATTTTATGCAACTATACCACTTTTAAATTAAGCTCACCTCAGTTCCTACAGAGTGACACTATTTCTCTTTCCACATATATGAATTTACTACATTTCAAAACTTCTCAAAAGCCATGCTGGCATAAGTAAAACCTAGACGATAGCAACTTGCTTAATTTAATCATGCATTTTTATCTACTGCTTATTCTATTTAACAATTAAAGTGTACAACTTTACTACCATGATATACTATATAAAACTTTGTACACTTTATATACGACATTGGATATGACAAACAACATACAATCACAAATCACTAAGTGTTCCACGAAATAAAAAAGTTGATTCCAAAGTCAATTAAAAAGCAACTGCTGAGCAAATACAGTGCATCAGAACCAATGTAGCATAGAGGTAACAGAGGCCCACCTGGCTGATTTTCTATCACTTCTCATCCATTTTTGAGTAAGACAAAAAGTGTGTGTAAATACAATGTGCTAAGAATCTATTAAATAGCTAAATGAGGAGGAGGGTGACCTTCAGGTGGATCTTAGCTGCATGGCAGCATTCAGCGGTTACATTATAGCCATTACATTGGATTAGAAAACCCTAGGACAATAAAAGACTAGAGCATGTCTGTGTTCAACAGTAGATTTCTTTGAGGGCATATGAAGTTAGTGGTGTTAAAACCAAAACCCACGTCTTGCTATTCCTGGGTGCAATCTTCTTTCCCTATTATACTTCTGGGGGCACTCTGCCTACCTCTTTCTAAATACTACGGATGAAAGAGCTTCCAAAAGTTTGTGAGAAAATTCCATTAATGTTTTAATTGCAATTTTCCAAGAACTTTTAAAAGTCTCCTCACTAGACATCCCCTTACAGAAGGGTTGAGGGGAGGAGCCGAGCCAGTCAGGGTGCAGTATAGTACCGATGAAACATACAACTTTCCTCTAGTTCTTGAATGCTTCCTCCCCCGCACTATCATGATCCCAATTCTACCTTACACATATGGCTACACCAGAGCATGTACACCAGTATGGATAGAAAATGGAAACACAGGGAATCTGGGACAAATAAACCCCTCAGGACCAACAATGAAAGTAGCTATACCAGGAGGTTAAGGGAAAGGTGGGGGGAGAAAGAGAGTACAGACCACAATGATCTACATATAATCCCCTCCCTGGGGGACGGACAACAGAAAAGTGGGTGACGGGAGACACCGGTCAGTATAAGACATGAAAAAATAATAATTTATAAATTATCAAGGGTTGGTGGGGGAGGGAGGGGAAAAAATGAGGAGCAGATACCAAGGGCTCAAGTAGAAAGAGGATGCTTTGAAAACGATGATGGCAACAAATGTACAAATATGCTTGACACAATGGATGGCTATATGGATTGTGATAAGAGTTGTATGAGCCCCCAATAAAATGATTTTTTGAAAACTCTCATATAAATGACATTTAAACAAGCAAAAGGACTAAGGAATAAAAATGTAACATACATATGTAAATATATACATACATACATATATTATTATACTAAGAGAGTTTTCAAGTATCAACAAGAACTTTTCTCCTAAGTAGGTATTATCATTTTATACATAATGAATCTGGGACAAAAAGTTGTTCTATAATTTGCTCAAATAAAACAGTTAAGGGTGGAGCCATAAATCAAACCATGTCTGAATGACATTCTATTTCCATGATTCTGCCATTTCATCACATCGCTCACCTATTAATTAAATTTATATTCAAAACAATTCCCTTAGCACACTCACTACTGTTGAGGCAATTCTGACTCACTGTGACCCAGTAAGAGGGAAAAGCTCTAAGTCGTTACAAAAGCGGACTGTAACATCTTTTCCCCTATAGTAGCTGGGGTATTCAGCCAGCCAGCCTTTTGGCTTCAGAGCCAACTGCTCTGACCAATATGCCACTTCTGTTGGGTGCCAATGAGCCAGTTCCGAGGCGCAGCGACCCTATGTTCACAAAACACTGCCTAGTCTTGCGCCATCTTGGTCCTGCACCGTCCTCACACCTGTTATAATTTAAACCCATTATTGCAGCCAGTTACACTCTATTGTTGAGGGTCTTCCTCTTTTCACTAACCCTCTACCAAGCATGATGTCAAGGGCACCGATCTCTTTAATATATCCAAAGCATGTGAGACAAGTCTCACCCTTCTTGCTTCTAAGGAGCATTCTGATTGCACTTTGACCAAAATAGACCTGTTCTTCTGGCAGTTCAGGGTATTTTCAATATTTTTCATTAACACCATAATTCCAAAGTATCAGCTATCCTCTGTGGTCTTCTTTAATCATTGTCCAACTTTTGCAAATATATAAAGTCCCCTTAAAAAGAATTGCTGCTCTTTGGAATCATACCAATTCTATGCACAGCAGAGTGAAATGCTGCCTCATCTTCACAACCATTCCTTACATTTGAAGTCATTACTATAGCCACTGTGCCTACATTTTGTTGGGGTGGGGAGTCTTCCTGTTTTCCAATGATCTACTTTACCTGATGACACATCTAAAGAATGTGAGACACAGTCTTACCACCTAAGAGCACCCTATGTTCCCTCTAACACAGCATAAAGGCCCAAACCAAACTCACTGCCACCGAGTCGATGCTGACTCACAGCGACACTAGAGGACGGCACAACATTGCCCCTGTGAGTAGCTGAGACTGGCGCGGGCGTGGAATGCCCCATCTTTCTCCCACAGTCTGGTGGTTTCGAACTGTGAACTTTGCAGAGCGCAGTCCAGTGCGCTACCACTGCAACCAACAGAGCTTCGAACACAGAAGCGCAACCTCTCACTATGTGCCATGTTAATAAGGAGCAGCATGGCTAACCCATTTAATAGCTTGTTTGGTCATTATCACTATTTCTTTCCATAGATAAGACTCAATGGCTACACTACTTTCAAATTCACATAACTAATGGCAGTTAGATTTTAATACAAGTCTAGCGTTAAAATCTTGTGCACTTTACATAATATATATGCATACTGAGGCCATCTATGGCTAAATATTGCTTTGAGATGTTTCAGGCTTAACAATAGTTCTTACTTCTTGAAAGTCTAATTTATTTTGGGTCTGGTCATTTTTTTGTTGTTGTCGCACACCCCCCCCACTGCCCCCTAAAATCTAAGCCATTATAAAATGGTTTATAATGTGTGGTGTGCGGATATATATGAAAAAGTTAAATTTCCTAATAATTACATTAGTTTATATTCACCATCCTTAAAAAATACCTAATTAGTATGTGTGTGTGAATAGCAATATGCATTTATTTCTATACATATATCAAAAGAAACATTTGGTACAATAACTCACTTTTTAAAGTCATACTAATGAAGTAAATTTTATTGTTCCCTGATAACCTTGATTTTCCACTAGATGGCAATGTTTGAATTAAAATAGTTAAAAGTGGGATAAATCTAACATAAAAATCAATGAGCAATAATTTTTTAAAAGCCAAAGTAGAGGCTGGGCGAAAGCTACTGCGCGAGCTGCACGTGGGGCCTCTAGCACTGTGGTGGGAGATGCAGACAGATACCCAGATCCGTGCTGAGACGCGGGTTGAGGCTGGTCTCGGCACTTTGCTTGCGAACAGAATCTACTGTCCTGACCAGATGGTCGGCCTCTTTCCTACAAGGCGATGCAGTGCTGGCAGGTGTGTACCGGACTGCCTAAGTGAAGGTCAGCAAGGACATCTTCAATAAGGCCAAGCTGGAAGTGCTCCTGAGGCCGAAGTTCAGGCTTCCAGGTGTGGCCGAAAAAAGCCAGGAGCGGCTGATCAGGAACACCTGCGAGGCAGTGGTTCTGGGGGTACTGCACCCCCGCACCTCCATCAACGTGGTGCTGCAGGTGGTCAGTGATGCTGGCTCCCTCCTGGCCTGTTGCCTGAATGCTACCTGCATGGCACTGGTGTATGCATGTGTGCCTGCCCATGCGAGCCCTCTTCTGCTGCGTCACCTGTGCTCTGGACTCTGATGGGAATCTTGTGCTGGGCCCCACAATGAAGCAGGAAAAGGTCTGAGTCACCTAAGTAAGGTGACCACATTTTAACATTGGTAAAGCGGGACACCATTGATAAAACTCATATCCTGGCGAAATAGCCATACGGCAGCCGAAAACCGCATACCCTAGCTTGTCGTGCATTCTTTCCAAATATCGCGACTTTTTAAAAAATGCCGCGGGACGCGGGAAAAATTGTTTAAAATCGGGACGTCTGGTCACCTTACAGGAGCATCCCGCCTCACTCCTCACCTTCTCTCGCGCCCCCAGGAGGCCTGGGCCGTTCTGACCTTGCGCTTGACAGTGCGGAGCAGAAGCTGCAAGTCCACCACCAAGGGGCTCTACTCCAATGCCGAGGTAGCACACATGCCCCTCCACCCACCCTAGCCTGGAATGCCGCCCGTTCTCTGTGTTCCTCTCTGCCAAAAGACCATTTTCTAACTTTTTAACGACAGAAACTCTTGGGAGCCTGGGGGAGTAGAGAAGCAATCTTAAAGGGAAGCCCAATTTCGGAGATGGGAGAAAGGAGTAGCAGCTTGCCATCAGGATGGGCATGGGGTGGGGTGGGGGGACGGG